AAGAAAAATTTTCTCTTAAAAAAGATTCAAAAGGTCAGAGAAAAATATATCATGTCTAAGCAAAATTCTTCCATTTGCCAAGCCTTAAACTTCACTTAAAAAAGAAAAGTAAAACCATGAATGCAACATCTATGAAATAACTTTTATCTTGAAAGTATTTTTGACGGTTTTACATAATAGCTACAATTCTTCTTGGTTTGTAATCCAATATGCAAATCAATTGGTTTCCTTAAACTAGTGATATGTTGTGTATTAGTAGTGGCTGTGGTAAGGATTGTAGGAGCTGATAGTGCAAGGTGTGGTGATGGTAGGATTGTAGCAATAGATGCTTTATTTTTTTCTCCGGAACTTGTTTCTTTCGTTCTAAAATATTTCTCAGCTTTAGAGCAAAATAAACAAGTTTTAAATGAAAAAACAAAACATTCACAAGTCTTGATATATTTTTAGGTGGTGAAAAAGTTAAAAACTCAATTACGTATAAATCACATATGTTAACACTATTAAAATTGACAAAAAACTAATAGAAAAATCTAATTTCAAATAAAAAGTAGTTAAAAAGAGGTCCAATATGAAATTAGAAGTTGAGGAACTAATTATCAAATGACTTAAAATTCAATAAAAAGTTGGAATAATTTAGTCTTTTTTAAATGGCTATAAGTGTAAAAAAGCAAATAAGATGGGAAAAGAAAAAAAAAATCATTTCAAGACTGCCAAAATAAAGCGATAAATACACAAATCATTGAAGACGATAACAAATGTGCTTGGTTTTAAGGATGTAAATTCATGCTTTGTTAGCATGATATAGTGATAATGCATGGTCGATGCATGAACGAATAGACAAATTTGATTAAAAAAGAAAAAAAGAAAAGAAAAAGAAAAAGAAATTAACGATAGTCTTATGGGCCATTAGGAACAATGCCTGTATCTAAATTGAAAATTTAAGTGACATCCTGTTAAAAATAAAACCAAGCCAAAAATCGACATTCTTAATCTATATCGTCAATCTTTTGTTGGATTTAGTTTTTTATTTTTTCCTCAAGGTATGTACTTTTTTTTCGTCTGAGATAACGTTCGAAGTCACTTAGGTCAGCAATTCTGTCGGCTATCATCTCAATGTACCTAGAAATTGAAGGATCTACCTACGAGCTCGTGAGAGACTGTTCGTAGCATTGCCCCTTTTGTTCTGCATCTGTTAATACCTTTTGATTGTCTTCTGTTCAAATTAACTATATTAGTTCAGACAAGCAAATAGAAGAAGGAGCCCTCTAATACTAAATAACTACGATGAGGAGTCATTGTTCAATCTATAAGCCTTTAGAAAGAGAAACTGAGAAGAAATGAAGAACATAGTTAACAAATGTCTCGATCAAAATACATTCCTTTATTATTGAAAACTGGCAATCGAAACTGTATGAATTTTATAAAATGACAAACGAATTAGTAAAATAAAAATAGGAACCAGCAATGCTCGAGAAGATGAACTAAACCAGAAGCAAACAAATGAATTGCTCACACGACTCAATAGAGAGGAATCCCCAGCTCTGTTGCAATCCCTCAAGCAGCAGCAAGACTTGCACAGAAATCAGTAGAGAAACTGCCTACCATCAACTATAATTTTATTTCACTTCCCAAACCGAAGAAAGCATCACATTTGAACGAAAAAAAACCTAGGTTAGAACAGCATAAATTTAATTTTTTTCCCTGAAAATCAAAGCAAAATATATATATATAACACAAAAAGCACAAGCATATATCACTTCTTCAGCCTTACAACAATATCAGCCTCAAATAAAAATGTACTACAAATTTGATGCCTATCTAAAGAAGTTCATTGCTGGTGCTTTAAGTTCTGTTTATGGGTTACTGCACTCGGCTTTCTGACTATGCTTATGATCATACTTGCCGTGCAGTCCTAGGAAGTAGCCCCTCGCTAAAATGCAGCAGCTAGTTTATAAGCTGGCAGACAATGATGCATAAACATAAATGCAAGTGAAGGGAGGGTTGACAAACCCATAAAAACAGACTAGGTTGAATCAGGCAGAGAGCCACATTTTGCTGCTAAGAGGGGAGGTGCTCCCTCTCTTCAAATGTCCTGTTAGAAGCACATAAAAACCTTCAACATCCCAATTGGTTAATGGAATCCCAAGCTTTGCAGCAATCTTTGAAGCAGAAATACCTCTATAGAAATCAGCAGAGAATCATACTACAATCAATTAAAGAAGAAAGGCAAGGTTTGCTAATAAAGGGCAAAAAAGAATGATTCCTATATGCTTGCAAAAACACTTCCAGAATGTCAAATGCCAATTACAGCTTGCATTATGAATCGCCTTCTTGGATAAATTGAATTACATATTATATATAAACACAGCACCACCTAAACCACTTCTGTAATGATTCATATAAATCATTATTAGCCAAGCATTTCATAAATGAACTATTCACAAGCAATAAGATCCCAAAACAGATACATCCAGCTGGGCATCCAAAATTATAAACCCTAAATCAAGTAAAATCATTAACCTGAAGATTAAAATATGCAAAACTAGAACCCACACAATGCAATTACAAAACACTGAAGCCAAACAATTAAATTTTGGACATTTACATACACATGATGAGGAAATCGAAACCAAGCACTTAGCAACTTGAAAAATCAAAGCATACACAATATCCATACAAGACATACCTTGCAAAAGCAAAATAGCAACTATTATATCTTCTTTTTCTTTTTTTTTTTTTAAAAAAGAAATTCATCAACCTTACAAGGAAAAATCGAAAACAAAAGAAGAAAGGCATAAGAAGTAATCATCATGTAGGACCTCAACAACCAGGGTCGCAGGTAGTAAAATGAAATACAATTCTAGAACTGCAGGAAATGGGACTAGGGGCAAGTGAAAAGGCATCCTGATTGTATACAACTAAGTATATAACAGCATGTTTTCAAATCACAGAAGTGTTTCTTTAAAAAATTGTGATACAGGATCATCCAACGAATTTATGAAAGCAGCCTTGCCATAAAATGGATTTTCAAAATTGTCGAATATCACCACCACGATTGGTCCTGTCTGATCCACCTTATTGCTTCTGTCTGATCCACCTTATTGCTTCCGGCAGCAAGAAATGTTTCAGTAGAGCATCCACTTAAATCTTTTAGTGCACACCCATCATTATGGCAAGCTGGATAATCAATACTGACCCAAATTGACTTTGTTATCCATTTCTTCCACTGTGGTGGCTGCAGAAGGTAGGTCTGATGGACCAACTACCTCAATCCTCCCTCTCTGATGATTGCTCTTTGCTCACAGAGAAATTGTTGAGAAGCCTAAGAATCAAGGCTGTATAGGTTTTGGAATCCTGTGTGAGTGCACGATTGCAGCAGCATGAAGCCAGAGGGCCTATCCAACTGAAGGCTATGTAGAAATTTCATTGTTGTGTACAATGCTGCAGAAAACTCGAAAGTTACAACACAAATATATGATAGAAGAAAAATGGTGAAAACTTGCACTGGAACTGCTGATGGCATGGAGGGAAATCAAGAATTGCCTTTTAAAAACTCTGAACATGCTTCTGATATGACCAAATCCACATCCGCAAAGGGTCCATAAGCATAGACACGTAAAGTTGGGTACTATTGATATAGCTGGTACACATGCAGAAAAACAATAAAATAAACAAATAATTAGTTAAACAGCAAGATTGCCATCTCCATCCATAGCTTCATTTAAAATTAAAGCATCTGAACACATTTCCCCATATGGTCTAATTTTTTTAATCAAAAGGAATTCCACGTTTCCCATCGTACACTTCAAACAAACCGATAGCATATTTACTGGACAGACACCAATGGAGCCTTGACTTCAAAAAAGAGTTTAGAAAATATCAAATGCCAATTACAACTAGCATTCCTGGATCCACAGTGTCTAAAAGTCCTTCAGAAGTGGGAGGACAGAAAGATACAAATCAACTATAAAGACGACACCACATGATCAAGATACCATGCCATTCAAACTTTACTGATCCTGTGAACCACGTTTTTCCATCTCTTCTTGATCAATCAAGTTAAATCATACAAGAAAAATTCATTGAGAACTGTTTATCTGCACTCTCACCGTAGATTCATTTCACATATAAATGGCCCCCACCTGTACTCCTTGTTAAGTTCTGTATAATATCATTGAATAAGAAATTACTTCATTAATATTCACATTATTATGCCGTCATGGATGGATTAGATAGCCCCATAAAATAAAATTCAAAGACTTTTAGAACATATATACTTGATTGAAGTAAGCTTCTGGTTGCATATTTAGATGATAGAGTATTATTACCTTAAACGACCATCTTCGACCATTTGCTGCTCCAGGAGCTCCAACCTGCAAAGTGTAACCTTGTTAAAAGAATGGACCACCACTAGTATCAGCAATGGAATTTGTATTTGTAGAGTTCAATAACTACTAGAGCTGCTCCACATCTTCAAATGTATGAGACCAAAAAGACCATACTTGTGAAAGCAGAAGAATTTCCCTAGAATGTCAGAAATATACACAAATTGAAGGCAAATCGGAATTTATTGGAGTGATTGTCACAAGTTCCTTCGTCAATGGCTGCAGCCTGCTACTTAGACATCAAATCAGGAACAACATCACTGCCGTTTGGCCAGAGGAGGATGATATTTACAGAGCAGAGGTATCAGCAGATTGCTTTATCCTTGAGAAACAATCTACTACTATGGCTTTGGTAGTGTACTGGAATATCACATTCTTTGTGTCGAACAACTCAGGTAAGAACAGAGTATCGAACAACTCTAGGTAAGAAGAGTGTTTCTCCTGAAAATTTAGCGATGGTAAATTACATGCAAAATCAACATAATTAAGGAGAGAATAGACTTTTATAGAAATACGCAAATACACAGTTTATGCCTCAAACAACCTTCTTATGTTTGAAAATCATGCGAACCTTCCAAGACTATTTATATCCATAAATTAATTATAATATAAAAGCCACTCCACAATTCCACAAGATCAAGAACAGTGCTAAGACAATTGTTTGTTTCAAAAAGGTTGATCAACTTCTGATAAATGAAAACATTCAAGAGATTACTATATACAAACACTGCACAGTTTCATCCTATATAATATCAAATACTCAACAAAGCATTGTTTGCCAAATCTATTTTATAGACCAACCGGAGACAACCAAAAAAAAAAAAACCTAGATCTGTATCAATTTTTTTTTTAATATAATTTTTTCATAATTACAGCAAAAAGAAGCAATTCTGAGTTTATTGAGATTAAATCTATAAAATTAAAAAAAAAATCTATTAACCCGAACAATTATGATTTTATGGAATTCAAATCCATTTTCGCAAAAAATATAACCCCAATAAATCTAACAAGAAAATAGTATGCAAATCAATATCAAAGACTTATAGCTAAATATTTACAACAAACAGATTTTTCAAAATAAAATCAGCATCCATCGATAGCAAATCTTAAGCTACGTCAAGAAATCATCATACCCAAAAGCCCAGAAACCGTAGGATCTAGTAAAAACATTACATCAAAAACCGCATGAGGTAACACTGTCCACAATCTCATAACGTTCATCCCCACAAAGGCAGGCTGATAATAGGGATGGCATGCCGTTGTGAGGATGAAGCATTACGAGAGCGTGAAAAGCTTTCTTGACATCTTTTTATTTTTAGGGTTGTACGTTAAAGACTACATCATGTTAATATAGTCTGGCTATGATTGCATCTATCTATTTTAGGATTTTATCTTACCGACTAAACGCTCCACAATCTTTCTTAATTATGTTTTTGGGCCGCCCTTGCTAGTTTAGTAAGGATTTTTTTTTTTTTGGGATAATTATTTTATAATACACTCATTTTTAACTTTTTTTTTTTTTCAATTGAGTGTATGAATTTTAATTTTTTTATTTGAATATATCAATTTTTTTAAACTGTAAATTAGTTATTTCTATTAATTTTTCTATTATCAAATAGTGTATATATTACTCTCAAAATATCAAATTACAATTTTGTCTTTTTTTCAATTGAATGTATGAATTTTAATTTTTTTTAGTACATTATCTTTTTTAAAACTATCAATCAAGTATTTTTATCAATTTTTTTTATTAATGAACGACATATTCAAATATAAAATTATAATTCTATCTTTTTTTATTGAAAATGATTTTCTCTTCAAATTACTCGTACCTTTTAAAATTTGATAAATAATTAAAAAATTATTTTTATCAATAAAATTCTAAGTTAAACTTAGTTAGACTACTGTTAAAAAAAAAAAAAAGTCAATTAGGTTTAAGAGTGAAAATTGAAGAAAAACACAAATGAATCTTCTTGATGAAAAAGCTCATGTTTGTGCTTTAAAAAAAAAAATTATGCCTAAAACTTAACTTTTTTTTATTTTATTTTAACAAGAAGGCTAACTAAGTTTAGCTCGAGATTTTATAGCTAAAAATAATTTTTTTTTACTTTTTTAAGTAATAGAATAATTTAAGGAGAAAGTTTCTTACAACAAAAGAGGGAAAAAAATAATTTGATATTTGGACACAATATCAATTAATAGAGAAATCAACGAAAATACTTGATTAACGAGTTTTAAAAATGTTAGCGTATTTAATCTAAAAAAAATTAAAATTCATGTACTCTATTGACAAAAAAGGATAAAATTATAATTTAGTATTATGAAGATAATGGACACGTCATTAGTTAACGGAAAAATTGATAAAAAAATACTTGATTGACAAATTTGAAAAAGTTGGTGTAGTGAAATGAAAAAAAAATTAAAACTTATATACTTGATTGAGAAAAGATAGAGAATTAGTTTACTTATAATGTAATTATCCCAAAGATTTAATGATAAAAATTACCACTATCGCTTATGACAATTGAAGGCTCATCCTATTAATATGAGCAATTTGAATCCAAAATTATTATTTTTTAACAAATGTTATTATTTTTCGTTATCTCTAACAATCAACATTATCATTAATTGGAACATGGTTTTATGGTAAAATTTACCTTCAAATTATTAGGATTGTGGTAAAATAAGACACATACTATCAATTTGGACTATTTAGACCCCTAAATTATTAGTTTTTGGGTAAATTTTATTATTTTTCATTATCTCTCATAGTTAAAGTGTTGACCATTACGTTTTTTAAAATTAAAATTAATTTCAATTTTTTTATATAATAATTAGTTTTAAGAAAGTTTAGATGATTTTGTTGTTGGATAATTAATGATGTGTAATGAATTCATCTAAAAAAAAAATTAAATTATTAAATTTTGTTAGAATTAAAATTAATATTGAAAAATATTTAATAATAATTAGCTTTAATAAAGTTTAGATGATTTTTTTTTTGTTTATAGGCCTTACTTATGTTGTTAGATAATTAATGATATACAATGGATCCATGTAGTTAAAAAAAGTTAATTATTAACTTTTTAAAAATTAACTTTAATTCTAAAAGATAAATGCGAAATGCTTAAAACGATGTTGTTTTAAGTATTTCACTTAATAATCAACACTTTAACTCGTTAGAAATAATGAAGAATGATAATATTAGCCAAAAAATTAATTATTTGAGGTTCAAATAGCCCAGATTGATGGTGTAAATTTTATTTTACAATAATTATAATAATTTAGGGTAAAATTTGCTATTAAACCATATTTTAGTTAACAATCAATGTTTTAACCATTAGAAATAAAGAGAGAGATCAAAATAAAACAAGCCTACAATATAAGAGAGCAAGTAGAACTTTAGCCATCAAATGCTAAAATGCCTATATAAAATCATCTCTTTCTCAACCCCTCACATCAGCCACACACACTCTCTAGAAAATCTAGCTAGGCTTCACTCCCTTTTTTAAATTTTGACTAGCCAATCAGTCATCACCTTTTACTATTCAACGCTGTGTATAGTCTTCGCCAGCCACCATTCACTACTATCCTTCATGCCAAAATGCCACCTTGCCACTGCCAAGACTCATCGTCGAAGCCCCTTGCTAATGCCTCTATTTGTCAACAAAAAATGCAACCTCTATAACTCAATCATTGTCCATGCTAGCCATCATTCATCTAAAGAAACCAGCCATCATTCCAAGTCATCGATCTCTCTAAGAGCTATAAGAATATCACTGACTAGCAGTAATCAACACTAATCACTCGTGCTTCCGATCCAACTGTTTAAATCAAGTTCGCTCACTAGTCAATGCCATGGCCACTAGCCATTATCGATTGATTTGAGCAGCAACAACCCATCGTTGTCATTAATAGTAGCTTCGATCATTACTTACAACCACCACCGGATGCCAAGCTACACTCTAGCCACCACTCTAATAGTTGTTCCCACAATGACAATTACCACAATAGATGTAAAATCTCATGTTGGGAAATAATTGGACAACGTGCAATTGTTCCTCCTCCCTAGTTAACTAAAAAATTAGTCTCCATTGAGTAAAAAGGTTTGATTTGACCCTATTTTGATTGTCAAAAAATTCCTTTGGCCTTTTGCGTATTTTTCTTCAGACAAGTAAATTGTTCTTAATCCTTAAATTTAATTTATATTTGTATGATTGTAAATTAATTAAATTCATTGTATGGTGATATGAGTGATTGGTTGATTGACGTATTTAATAGACATCGTTATGTATTGAGCATACAAAATAGTCAAAGATCCTACATAACATTGAGGCAAAATAAGAGAATTAGGTATTATGTGATTATTTTTGTTGCATGTTTGTCATTGGATTGAATATGCATGATTAGATTGTTTTTTATGATGTTGATCAAGGACATGTTTGTCGCTTGATAATTATTAACTAGATGAGTTGATTGTCCGATTGTTTTTTTTTTTTTAATCGATCTTATACCAATTTGCCTAAAAAAGGTGACGTTTGAGTTGTATTGGTTCGAACCACGTTTACGGATCATTTTTATTGATGTTGATGATTAACTTGATATTTTCATTATTTTTGCAAAAAATGTGACATTTAAAGTGGACCATTTTTGTCAAATTTGTCTAAAATGTCTTCTTGCAAAATCATAACTTTAAAGTCATGTCGATCTACACCTTGGTGCTGGACCATTGACATCAACATTGCCTAACATGCCAATTTCACTTATCAAATTTATTTGCCATGCATTTGAAAATCCTAACATTTGATGTCGTGTCGATTTGAATCTTGTTTTTGGATTGTTTTTATCAATTTTGATGACTTTGCCAATTTGCTTAAAAATTTAAAATTTGAAGTCGTGTAGGTCCGAATCTTGTTTTCGGATCTTTTTTTGTCATTTCAATGATTTTGCTTGATTTCCTAAAAAAAAATGAAATTTGAAGTCATGTCGATCCGAACCTCGTTTAAGGACTATCTTTGCCATTTTTTTGTTATATACTTTTGTTATCTCTATTGTGTGAGTTTTAATGTAATTATCACTTATTTATATTTATTATGTCTTAGAGTGAGGATAAGACCTTTGATTGGTCAAGTCTCGAATCACTCGCCCAACTCGGTAAAAAATTAGGAATAGACATAGGTTTTCATGATAAAAAATAAAAATCAAGTCGATTTGTATGCAATGCAACTTATTTTAAGCGGGACGAGATATGATGATTTTTTTTTTTTTACACATAACAAACCTCTTACCTAGAACTCGAATAGACTAGTCATATAATTTCCTTATAACCATAATACTAAGTGGTGACTTCATTATTTTTGCCCATTTCTTATTTTCCAAAATCGTCCCCTTCGACTCGATGTTGCCTTACGACAAGAGATAACAAAAAAGATAACATTTGTCCAAAAATAATAATTTGGGATCCAAATTATTTAAATTGATAGTATGAGATTTAAATTGTCATAACTTAATAGTTTGAGTGCAATTTTTTGTCATTAAACCATTTAGTGAATATAGTAAATTAGACATCTATGTATCACTTATTTATCATGTTTCAAACTGTCTAATTGAGGCTTTGTTTGTTGTTTTATATAAAATTATTTCTAAAAAAAAAAAATTATCGTTTGGTTGCACCATAAAAAATGAGCTGGTGACATGAAAAATAAGATTAAAATATATACTATTTGATGGAAAATAATCATATTTTCATATTGGTAAATATTTTATCCTTGATTAC